GTTGGTCGAGTTGAGTGAGTCCCCGGCGCCTTTTGACAAAAGCAAGTTCTGACACTCGTATTGCGTCACGACGCTCTGGTGCAGTCGACCCTACCTCCAATAACCAACTCGCTTGAGGTGCACCTCCATGGAACGACATCGCACCGAGTCGGACGGCCTCGGGCTCGTCGTCCACTGAAACGTGCGGCTTCAATACAAAACGTGGGCATCAAGCTATATAATGAAAAGCATCTATGGGCGTCACATGGATGGGGCTGTTGTGGCCGATATGTGTACAGAGAGTTGCTGGTGGAGGGACATCATGGTAGCCCGAAGGCTCTCGCAGTGCTTGTTGAGGGCTTTGCGTTGGTCGCGCACACAGTCCTTGCCGGACTTGAGCTGGGCAGTGATGATACCATCAATCCCGTTGTACTGGAGCTTCTCCAGTGTCCCAAGCATTTGGGCGAGAGAGTCTTTGGACTCGGCAAGTTGTGCTCGTGGAACGGTCGGCGAAGCGTTGTGCACAGTCACTTGCCACTCGACTTCCTTCACTTTGCGCTCCAGCCGACTCACAAGCGTCTGTAGGTCCGTCAATTGGTCCAAGGCCGACTCGCTGGCATTGCTGTAGATGCGTTGGCGCGGAGGAAACACGTCTTTAAACATGGCGGCGGCGCGGCTCCTGACGGCAAGCGGCGGGCGGCACCAGCAAGAATGGCGGATTGGTGGCGTCGGATAACGAGATTTTCCGGATACGGATCAAAATAGTACTCTGGACACATGGACATGTTAAAGGTGTGATGCATGTGGTCAAGGAAGATGTTGGCAGGCAGGGCTCGGACGTGATGACGCTAGCTCGCGCTCACCATTTCCGATACATGCCCTTGAAGCTACGCTTGCATAAAGCGCACTGCGCTCCCGAATGCGAGCTTGGTCTGCCGGGGATGACAAACTCTTGGCAACCCAACGAAACACTTCCAACATGACGGCGCCTTAAGTTTTGGCTACAGCAACTTCGTACTGGTTGAACCACGCGTCGGATGCCAACGCAACACCTTTCTTTCCGCAACCGTGGATGGCCTGCCGTAGCTTTTGTTCAACCAAGTCGATCGTCTTGGCGTCCTTGGAAAGCATGCGAATCTCGGCCAAAAACTGACTCGCCCCACCGCTGCCCATCATTTTGGTCTTCGTTGTCCACGTTGCATCGTCGTCGGCAATTTCGACAAGCATGAGCTGCATCAGACGGGCGACGACGTCGTCTGCTTCGTCCTCGTGTCGCTGCACAACACGTCAAGGCATCACGACAACATCCTGGGAATGTGCGGGCGCTCGTACCACAATTTGCTCCAGTTGGTCGGGCTGTATCATGGACAGATCGTGTTGTACGTTGGTTAGAAACATGGCGGGACCGTCCTTCGGAAGCGACTCCGAGCCCAAATTTAGCTCTGGCCACCGCATGCTGTTATACACGAGTGCTTTTGCCAAGCGGCCAAGCGCCGCGCGTGCCATTTCGTCGCTGACGGAATGCACCTACTCCATCGCGTTATTTTCCCACTGCTTCGACAGCTTGCTGCGAGCGTGCATTGTCTGGGTTACCTTGGACCCGAACGCTGCTTTTTCGACGAGGGACGCCGGCAACACGTCTCTGAGTCCTTCTTCGACCTTCGGAAACAAAATCGCTTCGAAGTGCTGCATCGTCACGAGCATGTTCGCCACCTACGTCGTGTACGGTGGAGCCGTCGCCACGAAGTTCTTGAGATCGCGGTCGGCTATACCTGGGCGTACTTGATGGAGCTCGTGGTTTTCGGGTTGTCCACGACCGCTTTCACGTCTTGCATGTATTGAACGGCGACGAGTTCGCTTTCGTACAAGATGGTCATGCGGATCTCGGGCACACTAAGTCGATCATGCAGACAAATCACTCTTGCATCGATTGACGTACTGCGACGACGCACACGACGGATGCAGGAGTTTGGCCATGTCACGCACAAACTGCTGGACGTAGCCGGAGAAGACCCGCGCGCTCTTGCACAGCGCGATGTCCTTGTCCTTGTCGTCGCTGCGAAGCTTCATCGTGACGAGGTCCCATCGCTCGCGCTTGACTTCGTCTTTGTTTCGCCACTACGCGCGATCCAAGAAAGTGTCGTGTCGTGGCGTCGGCTTACCTTGATCGTCTTGGCATACGATCGAATGTGCTGGATCAACGGGTGCTGAAAGTGCGGCGCCAGGTAGGCCGCGATGGGCAATCCAGCGAGCTCAAGCTGACGCGCGCCGTAAAAGATGTGGCGCAACGACGTTGCGATCAATTTCGTTGACGCTTTGAACTCGGCCACGTCCCGCGACACTGCGGCAAGCGACGGCTCGACACACTCGAACACGTGTAAACTCACTTGGGCCGCAAAATGGCTCAGCTGGTCCGTCATCCACACGGTGAACGAGACAAACGGGCCACTCTTGTGGCCTTCGAACCTGCGCAACGAAAGTGTCAGGTCCCATAGTGCGCGTCAATATATCTCATGCATCCATCACGTCCATCCGTTCGCGGACGGTTCCGCCATTGCGCCGCGAATTGAACGCAACCACGGTTCCATGCAATGGCAAGGCGCGCTTCGACCACTGATGCCACATGCCAGTTCTCAACATGCCACGAAAGCCAGTCCATGGCGGCACACCATTCGTCGGAATCCACGCAACGTACACAACGAGAAAGTCTTCGTAGCACATGAGGAGCGTCGTGAAGACGGCGCGGGACAGCGCGAGCACGTATTGCAAAACATTTCCCGTGGGTTTGACCAACTGCACTTGGCCGACCATACGCCGTGCATATCCGGTCAAACAGAGTGCCGTGGCGGCCGTGACTTGATCGAGTTGCAGCAAATGCAGCACATGCCGGTCGCGATGCAAGTGGTGGGTGCCGCCCTCGGTCGTCACGAGGCGGACAAAGCGATGGACGGCCGATGACACGACGCCCGCCAAGTCCTAGCTCATTTCAACCACCGTCATGACCATCGTCCAATGTAGCTGTCGTCATCCGAATGCCACAAGATGCCAACATGCCTTGAACCGCAGAAAAGGAACCTGTACAGCTTGAAGACCAACTCTCCGACATGCATGCCACGACGAACGTACTGGGTCGGTCCTGGCGCTCACTGCAAGATCTGCGAACGAGTCGTAGTCTTGCTCAAAGAGGTGCATGTCCAAGCTGTGGGCAAGGTCATCTCGCGCGTCGTTCAGTTTCTGTTGCTGTTGGAGGGTTGGCAAGGGTGCTGGTGACGTCGGAGTCTGGCTAGTCGACGACGCTCCCCTTCCTGCGGCTACATACCCAAGGATAACCACAACGTTTGGCGCAGAAACCGACATGGTCGTCGCACCTGGAAGTCCATGGGAGGTTCCAAACGAACCCTGCGGGGACTGTGTCGTGGTGGCGTCGACAGGTGGCGTGCCAACGGCAGGCAATGGAGACGTTGCTTTCAATAGCTGCAGCGCGCGTTTGCAGTCGAGCAGTGCCGCGCGCATGAGGCTTACGTTGTTCTCCATTTGTCGGATCTCGGTCGACGCGACGAGAAATGTCGAGTAGTTTGCACAGATATCTGTCTTGAGCTCGTGGATGATCACGTCCTAGAGCGCGACTGCGTGAATGCCCGACACAAAGGGCCGACGCATGGAGTCGAATGGATCGATGCAAACGATGGCGAGAGAACCAACAAGTGGGAAAGAATACCTTTTGATCGAGGAGAACGTCGCAGTGCATGTCAATTTTGTCGGGAGGATTTCGTTTGAGAAATGACTCAGCGTACGCTTTCGCATCAAAGTCGGGGGAGCTCATGAGGTCGCTCAGTTTCGACCGCTCGGGCGTGCTAAGTTTCTTGGCCGTCTTGTCCGGGAACCGCAGCAATGCCGATTTGTCCTTGAATGCAGTCGGTGGACCGAGGAGCAACTGGGCAGTCACGAGGGTCTCGCCCCACGCCACGAGGTCAGAGTCGTTTAAATCTGGGAACTTCTTGGACAAGGCTTGCACGACGTCCTCGGTTGTGAACGCTGCCTTTTTCTTCTGCACTGCCATTTGTTGCCGTAAATAGTCGGAAACTTTGGATAATTCCGCGCCTGGTGACACGGTGAGGTGGTAGACGTTTGTAAGTGTGGGGTTGTACGTACGAGAGCGGGACTTGGGGTGGTGCGCATGCGTCGAAGATAGAGGAGATGCGTCTACGACGTACGGCATGAGTGCTCCTATCCATCCGTCGCGATCGTCTTCGGTAGCGGCACGCAATTCGGTCTTCTTCTTTCCAACGGTCACGTTGAAGGCAAACCCTTTGCTCGAGCACGACGACGACGGCGCACTGTGACTCGAGTCCCCAGACGTCCCGTTCGATCCTGCTTGGCATTCCTCTACGGACACGATCTCAGTCGCCGAGATTGCAAATGTTGGCGTCGCCGCATCCATCGAGTCAAAGTAGATCCACTGCGTGGTCGTCACGTAAAAGAATTTCCTTTTCCACCCCGTCCGCCCCTATCGCATCACAGTGGCTCGATCGCGTCCTCAAGCGTGCCGCATATAAGTACCTTCTTCTCGAGCGGGCCGCCATACACCGCGACCTGCGCCACTTCTCGCGCCGACACCATCCTTCTCGGCAACCTTTTGATGCTGGAAGTTTCCAAGATCCTGAGGGTTGTCGACGAGTTTGATTGGTGAATCTCATTTTATCCGGAATCCTATTGCCCTATCCGACAAGAGCCCACAAATCCTTGACGGGCACGCATGACTGCGTCGAGCCATGCCGCGGCACGCATCAAGTTCCGGCAGCACCGGCTGCTTCCTTCGGGCTGCATGCAGCGCAAGGGCTTCAACGTACATGTTGTTGGCGGGGACGTTCATGGAAAGTACTTTGCCTTTTGCTCGACGCTCGCCGTGTACGTGTACGACATCAAGACGCTCCAACTCTACCGGCTGCTCTCGACCGCAGACAACCTCGCGGGGCTCGCGTGGTGCATGTCGCAACAGTACGGCCACTGGCTCGCGTCTGTTAGTTTGTCTCGAAAGGTCGTCGTGTACGATATCGAGACCGAACAAATCGTGTACGATGTCCTGTTGCCACACCCCCCAGTGTCGTTTCAGTGGCATCCGCTGTCGCTGCAGCTCATCGTGGCCACAGCCGATCCATTGGGAAAGACGTCATCGGCATCGACGCTGCTGTGCTGGACGATCGACCACCCCAACAGGTCGACGGCGCTCAACACCCTTCGGCCCCACAGCACTGTGCTGGCCGGAGGGAGTGCCGTGACAGTAATTCGTTTCAACACGGCTGGCACGTTGGCCATCGGGTTGGAGTACGTTGGGTTGAGCTCGCCTTTCGACAACGAATCCTGTCCATCATTGCGAGTGCTTTTTCATGCTAGGAATGGCTGCATCGTCATCTACAACGAGAAAGACCCTACCCTTCGTGTGTTGGACAAGAAGAAGATCAAGAAGCAGACCGCCCCGGCGAGCCCCTCTGCCTCGAACGCCATCATTGATTTGCAGTGGGATGGTCTGTCTACAATCTACCTCCTCGTGGCCACGCGGGATGGCCATTGCGCGCTGTGGGAGGTCACCGACGTCACCGGCGCGCCGCTCCACTCGTTCGACAAGCAAGGCTCTGGAACATCTGCCATCTCTTGGTAAGATGCTGGCGGTCTGTCCGCGCATGTCATCTTCGATTCGTGATCGGGCAGGCTGCCGTGGGGATCTGGGCTGTTTGTGACGGCCAACGCCCGCACCGGGAACCTCAAGCTATGGAACGTGTCTCAGTCGACTCCGCTCGAGCATCTTCGTGTGCGTCCATCGGGGGTTGGCATTCATGGCATGGCGTTGCTCCCAGTTACTCAGCATCTAGTCTGCGCATCCACCGACGGTTCGATCGCGCTGTATCACGTTCCGCGGCGCCAGCTCGCATGGCAGAGTCAGGTAATTCGCCCGACGACGATATGTGTGTGGACGACGCCGCCGCGACGACGACGTGCTCAAGGCATGCAACGGATTCTAGCGCCGTTTGCCCATTGTGTGCCAAAGATCCACGTCGGCCGACCTCGACTTGTTTCAATGTAGGCTGGTCACCAGGAAACGATCTTCGACCTGCGCTTTCAGCCGATGTCTGCTCACGTTCTGGCAACGTGCGGCCACGACGGCGCCGTGCGTGTATGGAACACAAGCACGATGGAGTGCACGCACCACTTGCAGCCACAGGACGTTGGAGGCATCGCGTACACATTGGCCTGGTCTCCATCGGACCCAAATCGCATCGCTTCCGGAACGTCCCTCGGCACGGTGTACGTGTGGGACGTGGCGACGTTGGCGCCGACGCTGCGATGTACGCACCACACGGACGCCATCTTCTGCGTGTCGTGGCGAGAATCTAGCAAACACAACCACCGGAGTCCGCGACGAGCCAAGCCGTCCATGCTAGCTTCGTCGTCCAAGGACAAGTCGATCGTCATCTTTCACGACATTGCGTCGTCGTCCTCTCGGTCACTCGATACAGACGGCCGCGAACAACCACACGTTGTGCGGCGGTACTTGCTTCCGTGTAAGTGGGACACCTTGATCGGAACACGCGTGGTGTCCTGGTTGGAAGAAGTGTGTGTTTTGCAGTGGCATGTCGTCTGGCGATGGGCAATTGTGGGTTGTGCTGGCCGTTGGATTAATTCTGCTCGGTTTCCGTGATGCGTACCGTTTTGGGGACGCGCTTTTTGTGGACTTCTGTCGTTTGCGTTGTTCGAGCGAACTCTGACATTTGCGTGGTGTGGGGGGTACGGCGGCAGGTCCAGCCACCGGGTGTGCTTGGCGGCCAGGGAACACGGGCCTTCTAGCCGTTGGCGGAAACGATCACTTGGTGCGACTTTTTGACGTGGATAACCGAGCCGTGGACGCCCCCATCCGAATCCTGGCTGCGCATGACGCCCGCGTGTTTCAAACCGTGTGGTACCCGCACCAGACGACGCACGGATGGCTCGCCACGAGTTCTGACGACTGCACCGTTCGCGTCTGGACAATTCCTCAGTCGAGCCCCAGTACGCACGACCCGGATGCAAAACAAACGACCAGCGATCAAGACGTCGCGTCGGCCGCCGTCGTGCCGTACATCACGCTCAAAGGTCACTCGAACTTCGTGCGAGCGCTCGTGTGGAGCACGGCCGCTCCCAACGCCTCCCCTCCCACGACGTGAGTACTGTGCACCACCGCGCACTCGTTCGCCTTTTTTGTTGACTTGTTTTGTCCGGAACAACGCCGTCATCCTGCCACCAAAATGCCTCCAGTTTGACTGAGTTCTGCTCGCTTTTCTTGTAGCTCTTTGCGCGACGATGGGGCCGAGAGAGAAACGTCGAACGCAGAGACGCGGCGACCCACCACTCCTTTGCTCCTCAGCGGGAGCTGGGATAGCACGATTCGCATTTGGGACGTTGAAAAGCGTGAGTGCCGACTCGTGGTGTCGGATCACCTGGCCGACGTCTACGGCATCGCGACGCACCCGAATGCACCGAATGTATTTGTGTCGTGCTCGAGGGATACAACCGTGCGATTTTGGGGGCTCTCGACGCCCGCGACGCAGCAGCACGTGCTGAAAACGATGCTGCAAATGGCGTCCGCAACCACCCCTGCGGAAGTCGCTGAGCTCGCATCAATCGTCGCAAAGCATTCAAGCGCTCGCGGCGTCACCAACCTCATGTCATTGCTGAATGAAAAAACCCGGGCACCGACGGTGACGAGTGCGAGGAGCAGCAGCCCAAACGGAACGCCACTCCAGTTTGCGCTCGCGTCGACTGCGACGATGGTTGTGCCTGCTGAAGATCAGTTGCTGGACGTGGCGATGGAGCACGCAAGGCGTCTCGAATGTGGCCATGGGCGGCGATCCAAACCGACAAAACTCAACCAGGGAGATGCGCTGCGCCAGGCTGCGACGCAGTATTTGAAAGCCGGCGCCGTGCACAAGTAAGTTATACTGAATACTCCAAGCACTACGGCACGGATCTGCTTTGGGCGGTCACGTCAGTCAAGCGCGATGCTTCATCGCAGACGTAGGTACTGCCAGTTGCTCGTTGAGGTGGACGACTGGGAAGCAGCACTGGCGATGGCGCCTGCCGTGTCACTGGCGTATTGGCGGGAGCTCGCGTCCAAGTACGCCGACGTTTTGCAAGCCAAAGAAGACGAAGCCGCTTTTGCGTACTACCTCGCGACGCAGCAACTCCCGAAAGCCGTCCAAGTGCTTCAATCGCGCGGGCAGTTCAACGATGCGTGCGTAGTTGCCAAAGCTCACACAACACTGTCGTGTGCCCCGGCAGCGCATGAAGAATCGGTCCTTCCTCCATCGACGTTGCCTCGGTCGTCCGATGCTTGTCCCAACGAAATCCTGATGGATTTGGACGCTTCTGAAGGAACACACCAGGACAAGTGCTCCACAGCGACTCCGCCAACGTCATGCCATCGAAGCGCCAGCAAAAAGGAAAACGATATGACCATCGCCGCCCGAGATGTGTCGACGCGCCGGCTCCTTGACACGACGTACACCTGGTTGGCCGATCTCTACACGAGCCGAGGTGACCCAGTCCTGGCAGCGTGCTGCCATTTGGCAGTAGCCCACGTCGGTGACGCTATCGACCGGTTGGTTCGTGGCGATGAGGTGCGTAGTAGAAATGGCACAGGACGGTGTAGTTGTCTTGGTTGTTTTAAGGAAGCGAGTCTAGAACTGGGCTGTCCACATTGGCACGATCTTGACGCTTCCTCGTAGCTCGAATTGGCGTGGGTGGTGTGTCGATGGCACGGGTTGGCGCCAAGCGATGCGATCGTGGCTGCGGTCGTGGGTCGGTGTGAAGCCCTCGGGAACGGGGCGCTGGCGCTGGCGTTTGCAAAGGCGTTGTCATGTCCTCAAAGAGAGGTATGCCCCACGTCACGGCGAACGTGAGTCCTGGCACGTTTGATGGTGGTGTGGTGAACCGAGTAGATGGCTCTGTCGTTCGCTCGACTGAATCGGCCGCCCGAGCTGAGGCAGCTCGCCCACGTCGCTGACCTTCCGGAGCTCGAACGTTCCTTGGCCTTGCATCTCGCCAACAATCACGTACGAATCGCGCCGTTGGCAAGATGCCGATGCTCGGGCGTCGGCATTCCCACAGGCACGAGGGCTAACGACAACGTGTGGTCTGCGCAGGTGGTCGACGCAATTGAGACGTGCTTGGTGCTGGATCGGACGGCGCAGGTGAGCACCTCGAGGTGGCCATCATCATGGAGGCAGTTGCCACCGTGTGGCGAGGCCCAGTGGAATTATTTGATCGATTGCCCATAGGCCGTCGACTTGGCGACGACTCATCTACGAGGTGCGTGCCATGTGTCGCCGCAAGTTCAGCTCGAAACGCGGTGACGATGGGAGAGCTCGCTAAGGCCGAGACGCATCGTAGCCCACGTGAACAACTCGTCACTGGCTCTCGTGGGGGCCTCCGAGTCGTCGCAAGTTCTGATGGACATCACCCACGTGCTTCGGTCCGCGGACCTATCTCCTCTCGAACCTAGGTAGTCCACTCGATCGTCATGTGGCAATGCTGCGATGGGTTTTTGGTGGCTCTTGGCTTTACATGGATTGTGTGCACCACTCAAAGGTGTTTGTGATAGACCACGGGCGGTGGCTCTCGCATACATGGCCCTTGCGGGCGCCATGCGAGCCATCGACGCGCGGTTCCCGCTCGTTTTGGTCTCGTACTTGCTGCAGGTCGTGCACACCCAAGTGAACAGCTACAACGTGCCGTTTCCGATCTCAACGACCAAGCTGTTGCTCCTGGTACGTACATGCCCACTCCGTTTCACGACCGACTCGGGGCACTTCGACGGGGGCCATGGTTGATATAGGAGGCAGAGTACGCCAGTCGCATCGACGTGACCAAGGCGTCTCTGCTGCTGGCTCAAATCGCTACGACCGTTGCAAGCGTCGACAAACCTGGCAGTGACAACGACGCGCAGTTGCACGATTACGTCGCGACGCTGCAGCGACAAGTGCACAGCCAGCCTCGAGGTAGATCGCTCGGATCGCTACAGAGGCACACAAACTTCACATCGAGTCGAGCCAGATCTCTGGGTCGACCCAGCATACACCCATGGAGCGGTGGTGGTCTCTGGCTCCAAGCTGCCGTCGGCCGGGCAATCGCGGCACCCGATCATCTCGATCTTGACTGGAGACGTTCGTGAACGATGCGCGACTCAATGGACTGGCCAAGTTCAAAGGCGCTGCTTGTGTAGGTAATCCATGGCCCGTTTGTGCGGCTCGAAGACGACGTGTCTGCGCTCACGTTGGAGGAAGCCATCATGTGGCATCGCGTAAACCCGTTCTCACCGTTGTCAACGGGAGACAAGCTGCGCTTCGATTAGCTAGCTCGACCGGTTCCAACATGACGACAAATCTATTCGACTCGCTCCGCTGCGAACGCTCCTGTACACGAACGCTACCGAGTACAAGCAACCTCCCTCGACCTTTCGATCGCTTCGTTCGTTGGAGTTGTCCTTCGTCGAGTTGAGTGGCAGGCCACCTGTGCCGACGCTGCGTCAGCAATCTGTACGGCCGCATCACTTGGAGTCGAGTTTGTTGCGGCAGTCGTTCGCCAACTTCCACGACTCGACCAAGTCGATGGCCCGTGGCTCTGGCGAGTCCCTGTCTGCGTCGTCTCGACGAGATGTCCGGCGGTGGTGGAGGTGGCGGATGTCCGTCATGACGAGCGATGCCGTGTCGGCATTTTCATCCAGCACTCCATTTGCCATGAGCTGGTGGTGCCGCGACTCCAAGATGGCCTCCAGCTGTACCAATGCTTCGTACGAGCGACTGCGCCGCCTTGGTGGCATCGTCGCGTCAGCATTGCTATGGCCGCTGGCTTCTCTGTCGTCACGCAGGGGGGGAGTTAGGGGTGTCGACGGAACGGTAGGGATCGATGAAGGCAGTGATTGGGACGGCGGCTACACAGATTATTCGAATCGTGACATGGACGGAAGAGTTGCGAGATGCAACGAGTGCAGGGCCTCTCCGGAATGATATGTTTGAAGCACGGCACCTCGTAGCTGTCGTTCCGGTGGGGCGACACATGGACGGGTCTGGAATGAACTGCATTGAAAGCTGGCGGGGCCGGTGGAGGCGGTCCTGAAGTTGACAGTTGTTTCAATGTGTGCTTGCGCTATGACGAGTGTAACCAACGAAAAGGGGCGGCACTGCGTACCTCAAGTAGGACTTCTAGAAGGCGATCAACAGTCGCGGCCGGCATTGCATGCACGTCCTTAACCAGGTCGCGCCAAACGTCCGGTCCTGGTTGTTCCCAGCACGAGGTCGTTGTTTGCGTCCCAGTAGACCGCGTGGACACAGCACCAGCGCCGCTCTTTCGATTTGACGCACTCCCATGCATCGGAGACGACGACGTTGAAGACACCGACTTTGACGTGTGGTCCCGCGTCATGGACACAAACGGATCTGTGGTTGGGTCATGCGTTCGCCACACCGATGCGCCGTCGTTGACGTCCACAACGCCAGGCGCATACACTGCCGCGTTAAACCTAGGCTTCCCTACCAAGTTGTTCGGCTGCTTCCGCGCCCTCCCCGCTGGCTTGGATGTCGCACTTGGCGGAGCTAGCGCGTGCGCATGATTGCGTTTCCACGACATGTTCGAAGTGTATTAAGTATTGTCGGCCGTATAATTCCGCCCCGAAAAATCCGGATAACGAACTGGCAACTTCAACAACTACGTGGCACTCGGAGATGACTGGATTTCGGTGCGCTCGTCCGAAACTCGACCTGTCTTCCCAATCCAAGCCCCCGTGCGTTCGACTCGCCTAAGCAGCGAGTGGAGAGCTCTCCGCTTGCTCTACCTCCGCCCCACGATCTGTCCATCGCCAAGGGGATGCGAAATGCCGTGCCACACTTGACGCCAAAGTTGAGCGCCGACAACTCAGTCGCAACAGCACATGACAACATAAACAAAACAGACAAAGAACCACCCTTGACGGACTTTTCACCACCAGCTACAATCTGTACATCAGGGCCATGTAAATGTCTGCTTGCGAGCTGATATGTGGAGATGAATCGACGCTCACGCGACGTTTCGCAAAAGCAATACGGCATGGCCAGTTGACATTCCATCAATATTAAGGTGCAATAGTCGTATCATGATGCGGTAATTCCGCACAACTTCGACACAATCGGCTGGAATACTCGTCTTCTACATGCTGAAGCGACGTTAACCGCGGCGGCACGGCTGTGTTCGCACACGGCCATCTCCCGGCGTTTTGTAGATCTGATCGGAGCGATGATTGAAAGTTTTCTGACATCCTTCGTTGTAACCAGCTCCAAACATACTCTCCGACGAGGACGCTATGCCTTTCGAGAGCCAACTTCGAGGATCGACCATCGCACTACCGAAGGGATCATTCGAGCTCTGCGGACGTCGACACCATCGTCACCGTCGGAAAATGCGATAATCCTCGCAGTGACTCCCGACGGGTCGTGCATTCAGCACTAAGGCGTCCAACGCCTGGGGTGCTTTGCTGCAACCGTGGCTGTGTGGAAGATTTATTTTTCCTCCCAATGGGGCACGAAACACTTGAACTGCTGCCACTGCTTGGCGGCGTCATGAAGTTTGACGTACGCCTTGCGATGGGAAAATGTCACTCAACCGTGCGTGTACTCCAGCACAGTTTCGTGGTGTCCGCTAGATTCGAGCAGTACCGAGTCGAAGTCGCTCCCAACTGACTCTCTTGCACAGCGCAACCCGATCCAGTTGTCGTCGAGGATGCACATACCTCTCGGAAACTTCAAACTACCCATCATGAATAAGTTGAGGCTCCTTTTCAGCAGGAGACCAAAATGCAGCGAAGTTCATGGGTCGTACTTGTTGAGTCCGGCCACTCCGTCGGGGGATGCCAACAGGTCGATATTGTCGAGCCACGTCAGGTCGTTGGAGTCGCTCGACAACTCAGCCGAGGACGCCACAAAGATCCCAACGAAGGAAGGTTCGGTTCGTGGTTGCGTTTCTCTAAAGGCTTTCTAGCAGCCGCCAAAAACGTCTCGGGGGTTGAGTGTCGTTGGAAGAGGGGGTGGCTGAACGTTGGGATGCTTGCTTTGAGTCTTGGTCCACTTGCGGAACCCAAAGTTGTTGAGCTGTCGTTGGAAGCTCGACAGGTTGTTCTGTTTGAAGTACTTGGGGAGGACTTCGCGCTCGAGGCGTTGGATGTTGTACAGCTGAATGCACGACCCGTCGCGAGTCCACGCGGCAATCGTTGCATCTTCGAAGGCGACGATACCGTGAGAGGTGCTGCAAGAACTTGGGCGTTCTTTTCAGCGGGACCACCGGGCGTCGGGGTTGGGTCTCGACAAGCATGGCCGTCGGGATGTGCACCGTCAAAATGGACGTGCCGGAGGAGGAGCGTGGTTAAAGCGAAGGATGGCAGAACAGGCCATCGTCGCTCCGACAAGATCGACCACATCACATGGCCGATAAGCTGTTTCGCATGGTACTGCGACCAGTGGAGATGTGTGCGGCCCACGTGTTAGTCAATTTGGAATAACAACTGCCTTTACACACTACGCCGCGGCCCACGGACATTAGCGAAGACGTTTTGAGTAATCATGTCCAGGGTGGACCATGCCTGCTGTGGCCGTGAACACTCCATGGGCTGGCTAGGTCCACACTGGCGGCACCTTTCACTGGAATTCGTCGAGCTTACTCGACAGCATGCATGGCGATACATTTCGCCATCACTTGAATACGCCCAGGCCTCCGTGCGTTTGTCGACAAGATTTTGGTGTGGCTGGATGCCTGAGCCCCGCTCCGGAATCCATGGCTCAGCACAATTGAGCTAATCCGAACGGATGGCTTCAGCCATATCTAGTCACGGAGACGATGCAACGTGAACGAGTATGCTTTTACACAAGGACATGAGATGGAAGGCGTGTTTCGTTGGCAACACAAGCGTCCCTACTGGTTGGTCCAGCGAGGCGTAGTTTTGTTGAGAAACGCGGCAATGCCCTCTTTCGCATCGTGCGATCGCATGTTGTCCGTCATGACCTGCAAAACGGCGGTTGTAAGGGCGCTGTTGGCCATATCTAACACGTACGGAAGAAGCAAACGCATACGCGTCTGGGACAGCCATGTCCATTTGCTTGTAAAACGCCGACTTGCCCAATCTGGTGGCCAGTTGACACTTTCCAGCAATTTTGGCAGCGATACCGTAGACCGTCGCGTTCAAGTCCTACATCAGTTCAGCATGACTTTGACTGAATCGATGGACCAAGGAAGGGTGCTTCGATGAGTGCATGACCTCGTCTGGCACAGCCGCGTTGATGAGACCCATCGCCGCGGCGTCGGCGGCAGGAATCATGTCCCCCGTCAAGAGCATATGCATGGCGTGCTTACGACCCACGGCTCGAGCGAGCGCGACCCCAGGAGTTGTGCAAAAGAGCCCAATGTTGACACCTTGATGTAGTGGTCGCCATCGATTTTGTCACAATCGTGCGTACCTGGGGTGCAAAACTTGGATGACTGGGATGCATAGGCGAGGTCGCAAGTGGCCACCAATTGGCATCCGGCAGCAGTCGCAACCCCGTTCACTTTTGCGATGACAGGCTGGTGCATGTGCATCATGGTCTGCATCAAGTTGCTGCATTCGTTGAAGGTCGTGCCAAGCACAGCAGCGCCGTTGGACGATGCGTCGAGAACGCCAAATCCATCTTCGCCACCATCGTTGCGAGCACTTAGTAAATCCTTGAGGTTGTGCCCAGAGCTGAATGCTGGTCCCTCGGCGGCCAGCACGACGACTCTACCGACGACGGTAATAAACTTTCGTCTCAAAGGAAAAACGAACCGAATGGTAGAGTCGTTGTGGATATCATCCAGCGCAACCTTTAGCTCTCTTATCAACTCGAGGCTGAGTGCATTCCTCGACTTGGCGTGTGCCATCGTGAGCTCACAAATGCCGCTGTCGACCAGCACCCGGCGCAGCATGGTGTGTTGAATTGTCCTTCGATATACCTGCATGTACGGATAAATCACAATCAAACTATGCGGATAATCCTTTGTCATCGATTTTCGGGATGTCGAGTTTTTTTTTCTCTATTTTCTGCACCATGGACGTTTTTTGATTGGACAAGCTATTAATGAATTCATGAAGAAAACGAAGATTTTCCTCCAGGCACCGCTACCACAACATACTGTAGTGGTGTGCATCGGAGCGAGCACTACGCACCTTTTCAAGTGAAACGTGCTGAAATGTTGATTTTTAAAGAAGCGTCAGCCCATCATTGTGTTGAGAAATGCCCGTTTTCTAATCATTTCTGTGCTCCCTTTCGGGGCATCAAAAGATAGTCATCCGGATAATCAACCTGCCAATCAATTGCGAGACATCGCTCAAGTACGACCATCGCACTTACGAGAGTCGTTTGGCATTGGTTGGTGTCTTGGCAATCAAATTCCGGCCGAAGCACCTGTCGACCATGGCGCAACGACTCCCTGCCGCGATGCGCAAGATGCCCAAGCGTGAGAAGCTCATTGCACCGATCCCTACATGGAACATCTTTCGCGGCGATTTGGTACCCATCCAGATATTTCTCCTTGATGCTCTGCCTTGGCACCCACGCTGACATGAAACGAACTTCCAATGTAGGTGGAGGTGATCAGTGGGCCCCACCGCGGCAAACAGGGCGAGGTCAAGGAAGTCATCCGTGCCAAGAACGCCGTTGTATTGAACGACATCAACATGCGTCATCGATATGTGAAGGCAAAACCGGGTGTCGCGCCAGGCCGCATCTACTTGGCGCCGGGTCCCATTCACTACAGCAACGTCAACTTGGTCGATCCTTCCATCGGGTATGACTACCATCGATAGATGACTTTCGTTTGTGTTTTGACATCGTCATGCAGCAAACCCACCCGCATTGGCATTCGTTTCGCCGAAGACGGCGAGCGGTTGCGCATCTCGAAAAAGACTGGCACGGTCATCCCCAAGCCGGATGTGCTCAAGGAACGGCAAGCGCCCCGACGAACAGGTTCGTGCTATCCCCATTGAATGCTGTCGGCTCCATTCGCAGAACGCTCACCATGCCGTTGTAGAAACGGGTCCTTTGGACACAGCGCCGGAAGACGTGTTGGAGCGCACGGTCGAAGACTGGGAAGTTAAGCGTCTATAAACGACGGGTCATTAGGTTGCTAGTGTCACGAGGATAGATCGGCAGTCGTACGCAAACAAAGCTTTCAAGTTTTGCAAGAGGTCGTCGAGTGTTGTCCCATGCGTTTCGTGAGCGACGACAGTCATGCGACCTTCCTCGAGCTGCGCGCGACACAAAGTTACATCCAAATGGCTGCTACGTTGGATCCTCGTAGCGTGATATCGACGTCGCGCCGACTTTTCGATGAGCAGGTGTAGCCGCTGATGTGGCATGCCAAGAGGTTCCTCCGTCCATTCCAATCGCGCTTCACATACGCCCACAACATCGCCAAGTTGGCGCGACCCTGTATGCAAATGAACCTCGTGCCCCCATCGGGCTGCCTCGTCCTGAGCGAAGAAAAACTGTGATGAAGGGTGGAAACCATTTGAATCGTCTGCATATCGTCCCGGTCGTTTGGGTGACATGGACGTAACGAGTTACAAAATAATCAGCCTTGGACCGAGCTCAACTGCTAAAGTTGTTGCATGGTGCCACAACGCCGCCGCTTCCATCATGCGTCCAGCTTGTCACAGGGTGGTGGGACAAATAAACTCTGCGTCAGATGGTGCAGCGGCATAAACAACCTTGCTTGGTACGCGGGGGACTTGAGGGTTTCGTACGGCAGCCACTCCCACCCTACATCCAACGACAAAGCTCCGAAACAAAACAACGACAACTTCCATACCTTCGCATTTGTCGGGTTCCATACACTGCGGCACTTGGTTGCCTTGCACCGTGGCTTGCATGAAGATCGTGATGTAGTGCTTGTCATCGTCCGGCATGTAGTCGTTGGTCAAGTGGGCAAACGTGACATCGACAATATCGAGAGCTACCGAGATCGTCGTCGAGCGCGGCGCCGACAGAAAGTCGAATGGCCAGAGGCTTCTTACCTGTTTCTTCCTTTACTTCGCGGATGGCGCACTCTTCCCAACTCTCGCCAAACTCCAAATGACCCCCTACACCCCAAGTGCCATGAGCTCCAGCTTGCTCTAGGTGACTTGCCTGGAAGCTGCACTTTGCCTGCACCGTGCGAAGCTTTCCTCACGCCAATGAGTACGCATGCAGGGTAAGCCGCCGAGTAGAGCAGGACCCCCACGCCGACACGTGGTACGGTGGTGCTTTTTCGAAGAGTTGCTACCTCGTTCTGCATGGTAAACAATCTAGCATGGAGCCCAAGTGAGTGTTCCACACGATAATGCAACACGTCAATGAGATGCCGCGAGATCGGTGGAGTAGTTCGCACGTACCTGTCATGATCCAACGCTTCGTGACGGTCCAAGTATGTCATGATTTCGACGAGGTTTGAAGGGTTGGCGAGGTCGTCGAACTGGCTCAGCTGGCTATCAAACACAAACTCGTCGTGCAATGGCGACGACAGCGACGATGTAAAGTAGTCTTGACTGTTGCTCCCTCCAAAGGTGTCCATCGCCGAATCGCCCACGAACGACGACGCCGACGAAACGTGGTCGTCCGACTCGGTAATCGAGTCCAGGGGCGGCAACACTGCAGATTGCGACTGTGTCGGCTGCGATTGCGACAATTGACTGCTCATCGTCATCTGGGATGTACTTAGTAGCGTGTCGTCCTTTTCCAAGTACTTTTGGAGCAACACCTTCATCCGCGCATTCTCCCTCGCCAACACGATCATCTTCTTCACAGCTTCGGCGAGCCGGGATTGGTACAAACGCACATCTTCATCGGCATCCGCTAACGTCCGACGCTTCTTCGACGGCCCTCCACACGACGTTGACATCGCACTGCGCCGCCGCGATGGTTGAACTGTGCGATGCAGATCTCAACTCCCCATGACCCCGTCATATTAAATTCAACAGGTAACCGCTAAATTGTCACGATAAGTGGCTCTGCAGTCTTATAAAACTACAGAGGTTTGTCCTCAGCCCAACTTCCTTTGTCGCACTGCCAACGGGCACTGACCGAGTCCGACGTGCTCGTGAATGCGCCGATTCTGATGGATAAGGCCACACAGACTGCTCATAGACACTCACCGCGTCACGCTGCACACGCATGGAGTCACGACCGGCGGTGGTTGCACTGAGGAAACGCATCAAGTGCGGCCGACGTTTGAACACTCGTTGCCTGTTCCTGGCCCGTGCCACAAGGCTGTCGAACCAATTCAGCACAGAAATGCCAATTGTAGAGACCCCAACAATGAACACTGGTGTGAATGTGGCAAAGAGCGTGTGGAGTAGCGGAGGACAACACGAGTTGCAGACCTCGTCGAGCCTCCATCGACAAGAATTGTTACCGTGATCCAAGGAGCTTGGAGAACGCTGCCACCGATACTGCCGAGATGAATGGACTGCCCGACGCTCCGAAAGAAGCAGATTCCCACTTTCGTTGCATTGAACGAGAGCGGCCAGTGAGCTACGAGGGGGTTATATGATTGAGCTAACCTATGTACAGAAGAACTCTGTCGGTGATCGAGTGGCGGAAAACGAGCACCGCCACGTAGCTGAGCAGGCCTAGTAGGCGAATGCTGAATAGAAATGTCGCTACCGACTTCACGGCAGAATCCCCGGGATTCCAGCCACCTGCATCTACAACGGGACGAAGATGGTCTCAATGATTTCGAGGATGCTGCGTGTCCATTCGTGTTCAGCAGAAACGACACTTCCACTCCGAAGTACCCAGCCGTCGGGGCAAGACGAAGGTGTATTCGCGACCGTCGTTGTCTGCCCTTTGCTTATCTTTAATGCGGGGGCGAAGAGGCTCTGCTGAGGCTCCGAACCTGATGATGGCATCCACGACGGTGATATGGCAGGCACAAAATTGAAAAAACGTCGCAGAAACAGACCATGAACAAGGCTAGTGCGTGGTTTAAGGTGGCAAGAACAAATCCAGGCGCGTTGAGCTCGTGGTTCGAAAGCACCTCGAGGAGATTTGAAGCCTATCCGAGAATATAACCTAGACCAGTCGTCAGTGCATCCCCGGAAGGTCACGTTGCTCAGCACTGTCTAGTGAGGCGCTGCTTTATGACATGAAGCGCGCGACGTCTGCGCGGCACACACTGCGATTGCCGGCGCCAACTCCGACAGGGAACTGAACACCAGAGGCAAGCTGTTGGGCGTGCGGGAGGGGGTACGCGGTGTTCCGGACGAACCCAATCACGAGTTATCACCGAACGAAACGATACACCTGGGCGATTGCTGAGGTAGCCATGCACAATTGCAGACACCATTCGTCCGATGCGGAAAACGGATGCGAGGATGCAAACATTGCCAAGGCGCCACCGAAGGGCTGACCGCGATCGTCTCCGTTGGACCTCTCCACAGGTCGAGCCTCAAAAGTGTGCATCGCGTAACCGAATATCTCACCTTTATACAAATCCTCCAAATAAAGACGTGGTCACAATATTCCACCAACACTTGGTCATGAAACGGACTAACACAGCGGGGTTGATATGGATGTCCATCAAATGGCTGCATCTCAACTGTGAAGTGCTCGTGGAGAGTTCAGATGGCGGGAATGGATTTGCTGGGGCTCAGGAGGCTGGTGGTGTTTGCGGCGCGGACGGAACGAATCGACGTGGTGGACTCTTGAGCTCGTCTTCCACGGACCGCAACGTGTCCAAACAATCGGGCGACCCAGCTACCCTGCACAGCAGAACATTCTTCACAACGGTAGGCATTGCGTAGTCGTCCCCTCATGAGCAGCTACGTGTTTCATGAAAATGGTTCATTCCCGAATTGGATAATCTCCATGCACGTGGTGCACATGTTCACGGTGAAACGTATGCATCGATGGGACTTGAACGAACATGAACGCGTTCACATGTGGCCAAAGATGGCTGTCGGCATCGAGAAACGTGTTGAATTCGTTTACATCTCGTGCATCTTTATGTACATCTATCCTACAGGCGATGGCGATATAGAAATCCATCGAAAAGCGCACCTACACCATCGAGATGGAGCGCGTCGAGGTATGCGCGGCTTTGTCATTGTGGACAAGGCGCTCGTACCAAACGAGTAGAACAATTCCGACGGACGACATGATCAAACTGATGAGGAACATGGGATCGAATGTGGCAAAAACGGCAGGGAGGAGCGGCAGCACGATGCGGCTCACAGACGCCGACGATCCGAGAATGCCCATCCAAGTCCCTTGCTGCCTCGACCCGAGGATTTTCGAGAAGGCTGCGACCGACACGGCCGTGATCAGCGGACTGCCGATGCTCCAGACAAAGAACACACCAATGGCCATCTCGTTGAACGTGAGCGGCCACAAAAAATAGAGCAGCGCATTGCCAACGACGAGCGAACTCAGCCCAATCAAGAGCCACGCAGTGTCGGTAATCTTGTGGCGAAACATTTCAATCGACAAGTAACTGAGCAGCCCGAGGAGACCCATGTTGAACTGGAACGACGCGGCCGACGTGACAGCGTTCGCATTTGAATACCCCGTCACGTCCAAGTACAGCGGCACGTTGATCGTTTCAAAGATCGACAGAATGCCGCGACCGATGATGTTGAGCACGATGAAGACTCCAACTCCGATGTACACTAAATTGGTCGGGAGCTCATATGAGCTGAGCGGCGACGCCAGCCCGGGATCCTTGCTTGCCTTGCCGGTCAAGACGGGTGTAGAGACTGGTGCGTGGTCGGAGTTCATGCTTTCGTCGTACGAAAGGATCATGAACAGCAAGGTCATCAAGTTGAGAATGGTCAAAGTGAAACCGGGGGCAGTCAGCTCATGCAGATGCAGCCCCATGATGCTCGTGTCGACCCCAACAAGAACGGCGCCCATGCCAGGCGTCAACGCATACCCGAGAAACACCACCATGCACAAAATCGTTATGTACTTGAGGCGTTGTTCCACGGACGTCATGCGCGCGACGTCGGCGCGGCAAACACTGCGGTTCCCGGCTCCGAACCCGACAATGAACCGCGACACGAGCAGCACTTCGAGGCTACTGAGCACATGAGAGTCCGCAAACAGGTAGATCACGTTGCCGAGGATTCCAATGGACGATGACAAGATGTACACAGTGCGAAACGTGTACCGATCGCACATCCAGCCAAACACAAACGACGAGATGAGACGACCAACGCTGAACATGGACGTGAGCAAGCCCATGTCGACGAGGGTGCCGCCAAGTGATTGGCAGTAGAGGAAGAGCGTCGGCATGACAATGCCGCGAGACGACTCCGCGGCAAACTCGATGAAGTTGATGAGAAACATTTGAAAGTACCATCGGGCTGTCCGTCGCTTGAACGAGGTGGAGGACGCGATGGGACTTAAGTCTCGTGAGATCGAGTTGTAGTTTGTAGCCATGTCAGTCGATGGTAGCAGGCTCGACTCGCTTGGTTGGGTTGTGGGGTGGCTGGAGAGTGCGCAAGTGGCACCCCAACACCCGTGGAGCTCTCCCCGACCAAGGGGCCCGTGGGATTTTCAGATTCAGTTAAACGAATTATCTTGTGTTCAGTATATATTCCATCGCACTCGAACGTTTGTCTCATTTGATTGTTCAAGAATATTGCGTAGAATGGATGAACCAATCAGGAGTGACACGCGACGTGGACACAGCCAATCAAAATGTTTGACTTCCTCAGCAAATTCACATCAGCCAATCATAATACTAGCGTGTGCTCTCGTTCAATCAAAACAATTTCCCGTGACACAGATATTTCATCTATCTGATATTCCAAAGTAGAGCTTACATTTTTAATAGATATCAGGTCAATGCAGCGTGTCATGCATTGACAGGGGGGGGGCGTGGGCCGGCAAGATTAGCACTTAATCAATCATGCAGTGACGTGGCTTCTGCCGGCACGCGCCTTAACTCGGTTTCGCCGCTTTTTACGATAGCGTTTGAATAGACTCTAATTTTTACCATGAGACTTACATTGAGTAATATCTAACTATACGTTCAATGCGTTTGATTGGCTAAGATGGAAAACTGCTACAAAAACGCGAAACGTCCGTATGTCGCCGCGACCTTCACGGTGCCACGCGGATACCAACGGCGCATACTGTCCCGGAGGGAAAAATCTTGTGGCACCGCGCATTCACGTCGGTGCTCCAGCAGCCTCGGCTTCGAGCAACCAGCCCTGCACGTTGCAATGTGCATGCCGTGCGCTCGAAATGCGTCCACCGATGCCATGACCACCAGTGCTACGCTCAGTCAAGCAAGCCCCTAACACTTATTTATTCGCATTGGAAATGCCGTGGAAGTACGAATGTGGCGCCCATAGAGTCATCTATAGCTTTTGCTATGCCCGCCTGACTTCGCCAAACTCGTAGTGACCAGACTCGTTGGCATGGGCTTGTGCTTGCCGCTACGAACCAGTGGACTGCTTCTGCCTTTCGAGAACATGTCACAGCCTACCTCTCCTTGAAAGGCTTTCCGGCATTGCATACACTGGATGGTAAATGCGCTCACGTCAGTGAATAGATGGGTCTGTTGCCACCACAACGTCAGCAGGAACGCCGTGGACGTCGCACAGCGAAAGACATGGTATTGTACCTGATGCGCTTCCACAGCCAACACGCTAGCTTGCTCCACCTACGACACAGCAGAGACATGAATGCGTGCGACGGCGTTGATTCTACATAGGCGTGAGAGGTACTCGCCTTGACAAAGTCATTGATGGCAAACAAAGTCTTGTCGCTGTTGGGGCCGCGGTGGCCAGTTTCAGCAATGGCATCGTAATGGATGCCGTCGTACAGCAGGAACAATCGCTGGGTGAAGCCTTGGTCTTCGCCGTAGCACAGCCGAGTCATGCTGACAACGTCAAACACGAGCATTTCCACTCGAAAGTGCGCCGATAAGATCGAGAGCTCGATTTCTCCGCCCCATGACTTGCTGTCCATGATCCACGCGCAGTACTCGTTCACGGGGCGACCGAGAAACGTCTCGTTGTACTCCGTTGGGAATGATAAAATCTTCTCCTACGTTCGTTGCAGTTGAGCGCGCAAATTGTCCAGTAGTGAAGGTGGACAACTGAGACCTTGACAATGCTTCGAAGAGTTTCGCCGTTCTGCTTGTCCCCCTTACCAAGGCAATACCTGTGCGAAACGGGCAACCGCGATGAATCATGAACGACCTATTGAAGGGACAAGGATAACACGATGAAGATACACACCTGATTGCGTTGAAGAGGCAGCTGTTGTCGGCAGCAATGACCTTGCGAACAAACTTTAAACTGGACGGTTTGGTCGAAGCCAACGTGACTTCCTCCTTCAGGGTAACCACCGATCCCGACGCCACACCAAGCGCTGTGAGAAGTTCACTGTCGTCACCAACGATGAGCTTGGGAGGGTAGCCACTCAACACTGTCATCACAGATCGACGATGTGTCAAGGGGACATCATGGATGTGTCGACATACAGGTTTGATCGTCTGGAGCTAGGCCAGTCTCTTGAAGCAGTCGAAGCTTCAGCTGGAAGAGTGTTGTGTCCTCGGGCAGTCCTGCGAGCTTGATGGAGCCCTGGGAAGAATTCACCTTGAGGTTCATAGGACTTGCTCGGACGTAAACTTGTGCGGCGGTGCTGGAAGTGACCAAGCGTTACGTTTCGGATACGCTGACTTTATCCGGAATTCTCTGCGAGCACTTCCAGACGTGACGATGTACCGTCTCGGCGGCTCTCGCGCAGGTACAGGGACATGGAGAGGAGGATGGGATGACATTTACTATGGCTTGATGCATCGTCTAACTGTGCACAAAATTTGCTGTTTAACTATTCGAGGTCGTGGACGGATTGGGCCGTGGGTCGTCCAGACGCTGCGTCTCGAAGGCGCACGTACGGTTTGATCGGGTTCACGATGCTACGACAGATAGGGTTTTCACATCCTGCGCAGTTGAGGGGGTACGCAGTCGAATGGAGCGTGTTCGAGTCCAAATGGTCCTTGACCAAGTCAGCCATGGCTTGTGCGAGCAACGGTTCTTCGTTAAGCGACGGGCTGCGCTTGAAGTGCTGCTCACATGTCAACAGCATAAGGTTACTTGAATCTATGCCGAACGATGTACCTCAATACCGAGTTCATGCGCTTCTTCGGCGTACTCAATGTCGATTTCGAACAACGTCTCAATATGGTCCGACGTGAATGCGATCGGCACTGCGAGAACGTGCCTACCACATCACTCAAGTTAGGCATTTGGACGTCATCACTTGACGAACTTGTGGCCTTGGCTCGCCAAGCCCTTGATCACGCTGCTCGTGCTCGGGCCCATCCATGGCAAGTATCCGACTAGAAAACCACCCGCGTGATGCTGGGATTTAAAAGAGGACTCGAACCTTTCGATTGCCAGCTGAGCACATGCGGATTGGACACATTGAGATGCTCCATGACAAGCTCGCTCGTGGACGCAATCTCCTTGGTGTACGGGTCGCCTTTGTACACGACCTTCATCGGCACCGAATGCGCCGAGAACATGATGACGACCTGATCGACGAGATTGGGTCTTTGAGCACCCAACGAGATCGCTACCGAGGTAATCTGGGCCTACCTTATCGCGAACGTCAGCCGGGAACTCTTCAAGCCCAAGTTGAATGCGGCGGCTCACGGCCGCAATGTACCCTGGATGCGTGTTCCATCTACCCCAGTGTGAGTTGCAGTGCCGTGAGGAAGGTTGTCGACCGGTCAATGAGCGACCATTCGAACGAATCACCCATCTCCAAACGCTTGAGTTCGCGCCATAAATGGTTCATGCTCGAACCTGTCGTCGTGCACGACCATTGAGGGTACTATTCATGACACGGGGCGTCAGTTGAATTGCACTTGACCGTGTGGCAAGACTTCATGAGTTCGAGAAGGAGTGCGGTACCTGTGAGAATGCAATTGCACGTTCCGCGCCGTCGTCCTTCATTTGCTTCAATGCCGCTTCGGTCAACGGGTTCGCGTACCGAAACATCGTGTAATGCTTGTGAGGTGCGCTCTACAGTTGAAATCGTCGAGTGAAACGTGCCCCATGCATTCCAATGTACCTCAGGGCGGATCTCGTCCAAGATCTTGCACATTGCTTCGCCCTGGTGGTTGGTCCATTTTCCAATGGGAGAACCACCGCCGATGGCCGCATACTGCTCTTGGATCTTTGGGGTTCGACGTTTTACCACAAGGGACGACACAAAGTCCTGGAATGGACCGAGTGGAATGATCTCCGGATCGGAGAAGAGGTTCTTGAGGAAGAATGGGACTTCCTCTAGCGTGGAAGGCCCCCCCATGTTCATCATCGCAATAGCCGTGCGGACCTTGGGTGCGGTTCGTGCGGTCATCTTCGCCATGTCGATGGAAAAATGACAAGGTGGGATTATCCGGATAACCACACTCTGTCAGCTGAAGGCCACAGAAGATCGCGAGGACGCCATTGCTGAGTCTTCGGCCAACAACTCGACGGACACTCGAACGGTCGGGATGGCTCCACACCGCGCTGCTGTTCATGCTTTGCTGTTGGGTTGTCATCGAGGGCAAGTGGGGCCGACTTTCCTCGCTGCTTGCATTCGGTCATCCATCCTCTACGGCCTATCCGCCGTCAGGCGCCGCACTCCATTGGATACACAAGTGATTCCAACGACTTATCTCATGCGGCTCGCTCCGTCGTGATGCCAAGGATAGTAGACTTCAAGCATCTAGTCGTGCTTGTTAGTGCACTCCTCATGTCAGGAAGGCACTTCTCATCGAGCGGTGCCTTCCTAACAGTGACCAGGATGACCCCGTCTCCCTCTCTTCTTTCCCTTGCTCGTTTGTTCCCAGCGCATCCACGAATACGCCGCGATGCCACGGTGTTTACTGGTCGCTTTATCGCTCAAGTGCATGCCCAGCAATCGGCAGCACACCAACGTTCCAAGCATCCGCAGTGAACCATCCACAATCAACCGGGTGAGCACGCATCGGCGCACCGTCACACTTCCACATCGAACCCTGTTTTCTATGTCGTCCGCGCCGTTGTTCCCATCCCCAACGAGAGAGAGTTTCCACGCACGAACGCCCGCCACGGCGCCGTTTCATTGCCATGGTTGGGTGTTGGCGCGGCGGTTCCATCCAGCGAGCCAATCAGCGCCCTCCCCTATCCCGTCCGAAGCTGCGGTTGGCTGTCGCCATTCGTTCTTTTCCAATAGGTATACAAACTCCAAGTGAAAATCCGCCCCCCACCATCACCACTCGAATCGGATGCTATTTCGACAGGGTCGACTGACCAGTATAGTTCACTCAAGTTCTTTTCAAGCAAAGACCCTCTTACGAACGACAGTCCGGCGAACTTACCACGTTGCTCCGTCGCTTGTTGAAGGTGGACATGTCCGAGCTGATGCCACTTTGCCGTTGCCACGTGTATTTCACCGCTTCCTCCACACATGATCCACGTACAACCATGCCACCCCAAGACCCATCATGCAAGGGATCTCGTCCCCTGTGATATACTTATGTGTGTGACCGTCCAGTTCCGCCCCTCCGTTGCGATGCCAACGCTCGTGGCGAGTCGCGACTTTGCAGGATCGCACTTTACCCATTTCATACAAAGGCATAAATAAAATCAACAGCAGCTCCTCTAGACGTTGGGCGTCGTCGCGTCACGGCGCCCTCTCAGACCTATATTAGCGAGTCATATCGCACCACGAAATGGTGGCTGGGAGCGGGGACCGGGGCCGCCGACACGAGCGGCGGTCATTCCTGGATTTGCTCGTTTGATTCAACATGCCCAAAGAAAAGACCCACATCTCGCTCGTCGTCATCGGTCACGTCGATGCCGGTAAGTCGACCACGACCGGTCACTTGATCTACAAGTGCGGTGGTATCGACAAGCGTACGATTGAAAAGTTTGAGAAGGAAGCTGCTGAACTCGGCAAGACGTCCTTCAAGTACGCCTGGGTGTTGGACAACTTGAAGGCCGAACGCGAACGTGGTATCACGATCGACATCGCGTTGTGGAAGTTCGAATCGCCCAAGTTCTTCTTCACGGTCATTGATGCTCCTGGTCACCGTGACTTCATCAAGAACATGATTACCGGTACCTCGCAGGCCGATGCCGCCATTTTGGTCGTCGCCTCGGGTGTCGGTGAATTCGAAGCCGGTATCTCCAAGGAAGGCCAAACCCGTGAACATGCCTTGTTGGCGTTCACCTTGGGTGTGCGCCAAATGATTGTCGCCATCAACAAGATGGATGACTCGTCGGTCATGTACGGCGAAGGTCGCTACAACGAAATCAAGGAAGAAGTCACGAACTACTTGAAGAAGGTTGGCTACAAGCCCGCCAAGATTCCTTTCGTGCCCATCTCTGGCTGGGAAGGCGACAACATGATTGAAAAGTCGCCCAACATGCCTTGGTACAAGGGACCTTACCTCTTGGAAGCCCTTGACGGCTTGAACCCTCCCAAGCGTCCCACCGACAAGCCCCTCCGTCTGCCTTTGCAAGATGTGTACAAGATTGGTGGTATTGGCACGGTCCCGGTCGGCCGTGTTGAAACCGGTGTGTTGAAGCCCGGTATGGTCGTGACCTTCGGTCCCTCTGGTCTGTCGACGGAAGTCAAGTCTGTGGAAATGCACCACGAATCCTTGCCTGAAGCCGTCCCTGGTGACAACGTCGGGTTCAACGTCAAGAACGTTGCCGTGAAGGACTTGCGCCGTGGTTACGTCGCGTCTGACTCGAAGACGGACCCCGCCAAGGGCACGGAAAACTTCACTGCCCAAGTGATTGTGTTGAACCACCCCGGCCAAATTGGCAACGGGTACTCGCCCGTGTTGGATTGCCACACGGCGCACGTTGCGTGCAAGTTCAAGGAGATTACCCAAAAGATGGACCGTCGTTCGGGGAAGGTGCTCGAAGAAAACCCCAAGTTCGTCAAGTCTGGCGATGCGTGCATGGTCATCTTGGAACCCACCAAGGGCATGACGGTCGAATCGTTCCAAGAATACCCTCCTCTTGGCCGCTTTGCCGTGCGTGACATGCGTCAAACGGTCGCTGTCGGTGTCATCCACTCTGTCACGAAGAAGGAAGCGGGTGGCAAGGGCAAGGCCGCCGCCGGCAAGAAGAAGTAAACTAGAGGCTCATTGCGCTTAGTTATGGATCGATTATATTCCAATGAAACCCTTTAGATTACTTTTTTTACCCCGTTTTTGTCGGAAATTGTTTTTGCGACCGTTTTCCTCGGAGCCAGAAGCGTCCTCCGCCCATGCCGGCATGGTCAAGGTGTGTGCATGGAAGGTCTGGTTGTAACCAATCTCAGGCTCTTTGGCATGCTACGTGGCGGGGTGCTCATGCCACTCGATCGCCGACACAACGTAGCTGTGCTCTCGTTCAACAGTGTGCATCGTATTCATCTGGAGCGCTGACAGTCCTTTGTTCTCGACCGTGTCTGTCGCGGTGTTCTCCAGTCCGGACGACAGCAAGATGCGGGGACGGGCATGGGAGGTTCGGCAGCGTTCGTCACTCGCTTTCTCGTGCCGCCTTGGTTGTCGTTGCTCCACGGACCAAAGTCGACGCTACTCAAAATATAGTATGCCCAGCCTCATGCGACCATCAACACCATTGCGCGGGTGGCATGACCGTGATCTCAGCCGTCTCAGCAACGCCATCGCGGTATCATGAATGCCCCCGTTCGACTCGGTTCTCGAACTTACAACACGCTATTATGGACGCACTCGTTTCGATCGATGCAGGAACTTCAGTCGCACGCATCTTCCAGTGTGCAGGCCCCCCGCGGGCGGTCTACAACCCGACGACGCATCTTTTCGAATGTCAACGCCATGGCTTCGAAATTTTAGGTGGGGCGAATGTGATTTTTGAGGACGACGGCGGTGTGGTCGAGTAAGGTACATGCTGCCACTCCCTGCGCCGTCGCGACTCCAACCGCTCGAGACGCCGTATTGCATACTCCAGGACAGATGTGAGCGACCGCCGCCGCGCACGACCCAGTGGCATGTTCAGCTATGCGTGATCTACTTGGCCCAATTCACCGCCGAGGCAGCGCGAGGCCTCGTGCTGCCGACGCTCTTTCTCTACTGCGAGTCCTTGGATGGGTCTCTCGCCGACATGGGTCGAGCCACGTCTGTGTTTAGCATCGGGCGGTTGGCTTCGTCGATGCTTCTCGGCTGGCTGTGCGACAAATTTTCGTTTCGGTCCGTCCATGTTTTGTGTGCCTTGATTGGGATCGTGGGCAACGTCATGTACCTCCTGCCCGCGTCGACGTGGTTGGATGCACCCGCGTCAGCCTCCACCAATTCAACGATTCTTTCAAATGTCTCTGCTCCATCACGTGCCAAGTTTGTGTGGCTGTACGCCAGCAGATTCCTCGTCGGTTTTGGCGCTGGCAATCTCAGCGTCTGCCGCGCCAACGTTGCAGCGATGACTCCCGTGACCGATCGGGTCCAGTTTATGAATCGCTTGGCGTTAGTCGTGTTCGTTGGGTATGCGCTGTCCCCTGGTATCGGTGGTTTGTTTGCAGCCGTAGACGTGCATTTTTCGGGCCTCGCACTCAACCCGTTTACGATGCCCGGTCTTGTGCTGGCGGCGCTGAACGTCCTTACTCTTATCTGTATGGTCGTAGTGTTTGACAACTCCATCGATGCCACCGACGCCCCGTCATGCCAACCCTATGCTTCAGGGCCCCTTCACCCCAAGGAAGCGTTGCTCGACCCAGCCCCCTTGTTTGACTGTTATGGCATCTGCGTCTTTTTGCTACTCAACGTGGTGGGGCGGGGCGTGATCGCCGCGTTCGAGACGATTCTGGTGCCTTTGCACATGCAAACGGTAAGCGCCGTATCAACTCCGGCCGACGATCCTGTCCACGCCGCCGCTGCATTTCAGTTTGTTATGGGGCTCCTGGGGCTGCTCACGTATGCCAGTGTCGAGCTGTGGCGAGGTGCCATCGGTGACATTGCGTGGCTCCTGGCTGGGCTCGGCGCGTTTGTAGTTGGAAACGGGCTCTTGCTCATGGACCCGCCCAATTGGTCTATCTTTTGCACGGCCATCTACTTGGTGTGGTCTGTGGGAGGGCCCCTACTGACCGCGGTGTCTGTTGCGGCGTTCTCGAAATTGTTAGGAAATCAGCCCCAAGGTCTTTGGATGGGCGTGTTCGGATCTGCTGGGTCGATGGCCCGCATCGTGATCCCCCTGGTTCCGGCGCTCTTTGCCTCGCTACGCCCTGTGTTTTGGGTGAACTTGGGGCTGTCCGCTGTCGGCGTGATGCTCGTGACAGGGTTTGCCGTGCAATCGTGTCGAAGGCAAGCCAAGTTCGAAGACGAAGGCAACGACGACTCTTCTAGTGTGTGGCTTTAACTGGCAAACAAAGCCAAACGATGTAGTTCATCCTGCACTTGAAATGCCCCCATGCAAAAGCATCGGCCCACGGCAGCGCGTCTGTGATCTATGACTATGAACGTACCAGAATGGGGCTTGCAAACATGCCCACCGTTTGCGAGAATGGAACCACACGCGGCGTTCGGCTGGCGGCGCATCTGGAGGGCGGCTGTCCATGTGACTCGGTCCAGTTGGATGCAGCCGGTGCTCAGATTCACTTGATTCCTTGGACGCTTTTGCCCTTTCACATGGGCGGCGCGAAGCAGAGCCTTCACCCGGTCGTTGCCGCTGCGAGCCCTCACCCAAGTTGAAACCAGGATGCGCGCCGCACATGGTGCTGAGGTGGTTGTACAGTTTGGTGGTAGATTGCCATGGAACCCAACACCGCGCGAAAGGATCGCGGCGCGAAGCACCCACAAATCACCCAATTCCCACCCACGACTCTACGCGGGGCGTCGTCGCGCGCGTTCACGTGCCTGTCGTGGGTGTCGCCTGCAGCGGGGGGACTTGCAATGGCCGGAGGATGCACCCCCCTGCCCACGAAAGAACGGCACGTCGAGATATTTTCGCGATCCAACCGTCCGTCGTAGGGGTTCGCATCCAAAGGTAGCCGATGCCGCACCCATGTGCGTCCCCTCTACCTGACGCAACTTGTGGTGGTGGTAAAGGTATCCCACTGCGTGAGAGAGCGCCGTCCGCGCACGGGTCGCCCTCGGAGCCTGGTCGTCGCGATGTTTGCTACATTTCAGAGTGGTGTGGTAAGCGAGAAGCCGCTCGACGGTGTCGGTCCTGCACAACGCGAAGAGCCGCACTTGCTTCATAAATAGGGACGATATTCATACGCGAGGACTGCTACACCTCGACGACTCCGCCAAAGTCGTTGCCTGCCAAGGCTTCCATCGCTTTGAAATGGGTGAAACAGTACCCCTTAGTGCGGGCGTTCTTTCGGCAAGACGTGAGCCGGCACTTCTTGCCACCGCCGTGTTTGATGCAAAGGCCGCCTGTGACTGCCCCTTTCATACACCCTGCCGTCGCGCATCGATGACCGCCGCCGTGGGCGACGCAGAACCCGCCACTCACTGCGCTCTTTGGACATGAGACAAAATTGCACCGCTTGCCGCCGCCGTGGGCGATACAATAGCCCCCAGAGAGAGCGTACTTGTTGCAGTTGTCGTCGCCACACCGCCGGCCACCGCCGTGGTGAGCGCAGTACCCGCCAAGGAGTGCCGACTTGTTGCAACCTTCACCGAGGCAGCGCTTGCCCCCTCCGTGGGAGATGCAGAACCCGCGCTCCTTGGCACTCTTGACGCACCCGTCCACGTCGCACCGCTTTCCGCCGCCGTGGGCGATGCACAGGCCACCCGACTTGGCGCGCTTCGTGCATGGATCGACGCGGCATAACTTGCGGTTGACAACGCGGCGAACGTCGTCCGATGCTGGGGACGACCGGCCGCTGCACACCGATTCGTTCGACGCTCTCGACGGGAGGTACAACATGAGATTAGGTTGGTGTCGAAGCGGACCAGCCGAGACCGAAGTCTGCGGTTGAGTTGACACAGGGTATGAATATTTGCAGGCTACCACGGCGGTGTGGAAGAGGCAGAGGCCGTTGTCTTTCGCGAAGCGGCTGCATGGGGCGGCCGCGCAGTACGTTGGGGCGGTGGCTCCATCGCGGGAGGTGTAGATGAGCGCCGTGGGGGCGTTCGTGTAGGGCGGCACGTGCAAAAACATGGTTGCCGTTCGTTCCAGAGAAAGACGAACGAGTGGGTGGCGGTGTCGGCGTGAATCGATTAATGCTTGCGACGGAGGCAACCCGAAAAACGTCGTCAAGTCATCGAAACAAGTGGGACAACCCCACCTGCTTGGGTCCATCCCCAGCAGGTGGCGCGGCCGATTCCGACGCCATCTACAGCAGCATCCTCTGAACAACACGTGTACGCGTTGGAGGGCGGCACACAACCCATTTGCATGAACGAGGCGCGTTCAGATCACGGCGCCGAGTCGGCAACGATGAATTTTTTGGGACTACGCCGACGACGTTCGATTCCATCGCGACGAGCACGTGCTGCTCACACGTATCGCTTGACATGAGTCAATTTCGAGCGGCCGTACGACATCTGCTGCCTTCGAAAGATAGCCTTCCGAACGTGGGACCCTGGGGTGGGCCACCCAGCAGTGCTTCGGGTTTGCCACCGACGTCGTTCCCTCTTGTCGACATGAATTCCCGCCGAGACGATGGGGCCGGAACAACACCTATGATTCTCGCCAGTTCAAGACAGCCAGCGGATGATGCTGAGCCGCGTGACTGAAGCGGCGCCATGGCCAGCAACAAACCAGGCGTTCGGTAGCTCGCAACTGCATGCACCCACAACGGTTGCTTCGCTCGTGCGTAGAGTTTTCCTGTGCGTCCAACGTGGTACCACGTAAAAATTAGCGTGCTCCAGGCTCGCTGCATAACAACCAAGGTACTAGAAGCAAAACGATGCTGACATGCACAGCGCCAAGTGACCAACGCCCACTTGGTGAACGACGACAAGGGGCGATCCGCCCAACTCGCGGGTCGGAACCACGCCGCTCCGCCCCCGCCGTTGTAGCCCCCCCAGTTAGCAGACAAGGGCAGCTCTGCGCGGTTCCACGTAAAATTGCACCAGCATTTGTCGACCTCGAGCGCTGTGGTAGGGTATGCCCCAGGATTCGAGGGTTGCCTGTCGCAAGTCTCTGCATGTGCGGTGGTGTCGCATGCGAGGGTCGTGGCGGACATGCATACTGCCAAACACAACATTTTCCCACACGAAAGTCACGGCATGTGGATTTGCGCACGTGGGGTGTGACCGGTTAGGCTATTGACGGACCAGCTCGTTGCGATGCGGCCGTACGAATGGGCTACCAACGGCGCGATCCGTGTCGTGCGCGGTTGGGGCGTCCGCGGTGGGGCTCCAAGTTGCAGTTACGTTGCACAGCACGGCCGCTGTCGCACACCACATACGTCTATGGCAAGGTACACCGTCGACGAGTTGCGCCAACGCCCAACATCACCCATCACGCCAAGATCCCGCCAAGGGCGCTGCGTCGGGTCGGAAGTCGAAACCGTCGACGGGCTGGTAACTGGTTGATTCCGGATAATTAGAAAAACACATGAGCAATTCCATTGGATCATTCCGATGTTCGTGAACTCTCCGACGGACCCAATGAAGATGCGATCCTGCCGGTCGTCGGGCGGCGCCGCGTATGACTTCGTTTCGCCACGGCGGACGATTAAGAATTCTTGACGTGTAGGCTAGTGACTCATATTGGCCGACGATAGCCCGCTCGATCAGGGCGCATCTCAGCGATACGGCAGCGAGCCTCGCAGAGGAAGAGCGCCCGCCGACAGCTACAGTCGTCGTACAGCCACTTCATTCTTTCGCAGTGCTCCGTTGCAACGACATGATCAAACCACACGTGCCGCCGCAACTTGAAGCGCGATGCACCCAGGTGACAGACTGTCGCGCAATAACGAAACCTCAAACATACGATCTCGCCCAGGATTCCTGTGGGCGGAAGAGGCATGCGCGCGCTCCTTGCCACCGCACGATGTGCTACCAACCATACGAACACCGCCGCCAGGAAGCGAACAGCGAGCATGATCGAAGGGTGCACATTCAGCATCCCCGCTCCGTGGGAGACTGAATCGAACCCCCGCTGACTAACACCCACGCACGCAACGCGGATTCCCTCAACACAACAGCTTCCATTCACGAGCAAACAACACCGCCACCATGGTGATTCCCCCCTCTTCCGAGGAAGCAACGATACGCACTGTTCGAATGCGAATGCTGCATCGTCCATCCCCACGATGGTCTCCATGACGAAGCGAAGGTCCCATATACCGAATCCACATCAAAAACTAAATTTGACATGTTAGTGGCATCCGACATTCAAACGACAAAATTTAGAGCGGTCATTGGTGAAACGACATAAAGGTAAAATATGATTGGACTCCATAGATTAGAGGCAACGGATTGGTCGACTCCAATGTCGTTTTGCAACATATCAGAGAACATTGAGAATAACACAATTGGATTGGTTGAAATCACTTGGTAGGAGTTACATAACCACCACGACCATTTAAAATGGCGCCGTCAAAGCCAACGATGGTGGCCTCCAAGAAGACCATCCAAGAATCGTTCCACGGTGCGTCCACAAGGCGCGCCTACACAACCTATCAGAAGCAGTTCGAGGCATTCCTCCGGCTGAACAAGGACGGTCTTGACCCCCGAGAGGCGGGAACAGAGGAATGCACCGACTTCTTCCACCACATGTACACTCAAGGCCGTAAAGCTCGGACCATTGACCTTGCCAAGTCCGCCCTGGTCGCGTACTTCTCAGCGTGTGGTGTGGTGCCAAACCCAGCCCAGGACTCAACAACCCGACGCTATATTGTTGGGTTACAGAAGTACAACAAACAAAACAACCTCGACGAAGAGAAGAAGGCATATCCAATCACCGTGCACGAACTGTCGACTCTGATGAACTCGTTGGCGCATCTCCACCCGTTCCTGGGCGCAATGCTGCGGCTGCTGTTGGCAGTGGGCTTTATTGGCTGCTTTCGCACAAGTGAGGTGTTGGCCCTACGTTGGAACGACGTCGAAATTGTTGGAGACGACAGGGGTCGTTACCTGTCCGTACGTCTCCGTTGGCACAAGAAGGCCAATGTCGAAGAGGATTGTCAAGTGTATCATCTTGTTGATGAGACCACGTTTCCATGCTTGCGCGTGTGCGGCTTCTACGACGAGTACCTCTCGAAGGTCAGAGCTGCCGGAGTCAACATCAACAGCAGTACCTTTGTGTTTCCCAACTTTGTCTCGCCACAGTCGGGTGTACCAAAAGTTGAGTGGAGCCGCGGTCTCGATCAAGCCAGCTTGCGGCGAATCCTAGTCGACGTTGTCGAGCGCACTCCAAACCTTCCTATCGGCATAACCCTACACAGCCTCCGGCGTGGTGGTGCGTTCTTTCGTGTGTTTGAGTCTGTGGAACGGCGCTTCAACTTTCGCGAGTTGATGGCCTGGTGTCGATGGGCGGACTCTAAGACATGCTGTGAGTACCTGATCACACAGAGCATCAGCAACGAGATCAACCCACGCAATTTGCTGCGCACTGGCAGCGAAACTGGCAACATTCAATGGCCGGGCGGCAATGGTGGTGTGGCGGGTGGCATGGGGTTCTCCGTCGAGGCTCTTGGCCAAGCAGTGGCCAAGAACTTGCAAGGGCAGGCAGCTGGTGTCGGCGCCATGTCGGCTGTGCCTATGCGACAGAGTACAATGGATCAGTTTGTGTCCCAGAAGTCCGTACCTACTGCTCGATCGGCTCTGGACGCTTGGCAGCAGTGGTTTGTCGCTGACCCTAGCATTGGCTTGGTTTGTGCTCTCAAGGACTACACGAAGGAGATGATACGTATGGACAGGAAGAAGTATTCTGAGCGTCTCACTTTGTCAACTGCCTTCAGCAAGTACCAGACCTTTCAGCAGTTCGAAGCTTCGTATCTAGGGTTCACGAGTTCCTACGCAAAGATACTTCATGAGGTTAGACGTAGAAAACGATTGAATATTATGTAAATGCATTTCGAAATTTTGAGTCATGTAAAATGTTTTGCCACCACCCGGGATTGAACTCGGGGCCAATTGCAATGACCGGTACCCTTATTTTGTGAGGGTCCATGCCCAATGGGGAAACCTGGCGGACCATTAAGTAGAGGGGGTATCCCCTCTACTTCTTGGATCGCAAAACAAATCATCATTTCTTTTTGTCGTATCAGCCAATCAGCTTGTTGTCGGATGGATTTGTCGTATCCGCCATATTATCTATACATTGTAAT